GGCCAGACGCACAATCATGAAAAGACATGTTGTAAAGAAGCACGGTATATCACAAGTTTCCTCTATATGGAGAGGACAGGGAGGGGTGAATACCAATTAATTCTATAAATATTAGTTCTGTTAGCATATGATTCAATGCTAACAGTGTAGCGTGTGCTTCCCGTTGAATTACTTGAAGATATATATTGACATGTACATATGAAGTGAAAAAATATAATAATACTCTGTATAACAATAATTCTTAAAGTATGGTTGTTCTAAATGTAAGATTAATAGAAAATGTTCATACTTGTATATATTTGTCAGTTTTAAATACAGAACTGATCTAAAGGATAACGACAAGTCAAGTGTATTTTTTTTTCAGTTTTCTTGTCATATTATGGTATTTAGTATAAAAATGAAAGAATACATTATAAGTTGATTGTTGTAAACTGAAACTTGGCTGACAGCACACATTATTTTATGTATAATCTCTATTAGTCATCTATAATTTATGTTGTCAGGGTAAAATTGTTACAGTTATGATAAACATGGTATCTCATAGTGAAGCAAATAGATGTGATAAAACAATAGCTGGCAATGCATAGATATAAGTATGCATTTAATGTCAATCATTACTGTCATGTTTTCCTAATGAAATACTTTGTTTAACAACATGAAGCATTTGTATTATGTTTCCTTTGTGCTTTAACTTGACTTTGTAATGTAAAGACAGATTTATAATCTGTATATATCATGAAAGAATGTAGTATGTGGAGTTCGCCAGACACAAAGTATCATGTTTTGTTTACATGTACTTGCACCAGAAGCTCCACCCCATCCACTAGATACCTATAGTAAATCGGGCTTTCCAATGAATCAATGCATAAATTAGTCTGTGGTACAAGTAAAGCCCATTAGCAATCAAACTCAACAGTCCTATCGATGCTGATTTTCCGTAGACTTCTTACTATGGATTATTTGTGTGTGTGTGCGTAGAGTAAGAAAGTATTTTATATTTATCTTTACTGTCTTCCTCCTGGCTTGGGACCTTTTGACTTCGGGGCCCTGTAGCCATGCTATGGCTGCTATGACGGTATGTACACAACTTTTTTTTTAATCCAGGTGGATACGATCCAGATTCAAGTAAGAGTGGTGAAATGATACCGACTGGAACTACTTATGTACTTGACCTCGACACGAAAGAATGGGAAAGTAAACGGAACATGATCTGTGCTCGAGCACACCACGGTGTTGTAACTATTCGTGGCCGTATTTATGCTATTGGTGGTCGTGATAGCAGAGGGAGGTAAGTAGCATATGCATGAAGTAAGACACAATATTTTATTTTTTAATCGTGTAAAAACATTACAAGTATGATGAGTAAAGTATTGATGGAAAATGTTCTTCTTTGTTTTTTGTTAATCCCAAATGAACTGTATAATAAAGACATACATTGTAAAGTTTAACTGATTGTGTAAATAATTTACAATATCATGCATACTTATTACACCAGATTTTGGTTTTGTATGAATGATGTTACAAACGTCAGTAAATGAAAGTTTGATTTCTATTGTGCACAAAATGAAAAGAAAAAGTTTCATTTCTTTAGCATGATTTTATTATTTGTATATTACATAAAAATGATAATATTTTTAAACGGAATATTCTTTAATAATAGAGTGGTTTCGTCTATGGAAGTATACACACCGGAAATAGACGCCTGGGAAATGGAGAGACCAATGCCCATGCCACGCATGGGTCTGGGTGCAGTGACCTACATGGGATTTATCTGGGTACTTGGTGGATTGACGTCGTTTCCAGAAAATTCTGATTCTGATTCACCAGTTCTTGACAGCGTGTTGTGCTATGATCCAGTATCTAAAATGTAAGTTATTGTGAAACAATTAGTATAAAAATAACATTTGTGTAAGAATGATAAATAAACTTCCGAGTGAAAGTAGAGTGTATAAAGATAGTGATACTACACTGAGTGGTCACAAGTAAATAGACACCTAATTTTTTGTCATTTAACTGATTTATGCTAACTAATTTGTGTTCACAGAGCACTAGATAAATGAAAATGGTCCGCACACTAATTATCTTGTGCTACAACATGCCTAGAACTCAAGGTTCTCTCAAATTGTCAGATTTTGTTAGAGAAAAGATAGTTGGTCAAGCAGATGGTGGTATAAGTCAGCAGCAAATTTCTCAGAATTTGGTAATCCTGCTTTCGACAGTCAACAGAATCATCGTGCAGTTCAGGAAACACGGCAAGGAAACAACTGAGCAGCGTCGGAGTTGTCCTGGTCCATCGGAGAGGATAAAAAAAGCTGTCAAGAGGAGCATAGAAATGGATCCCAGATTAATGACTGCAGAATTGGCCAAAATTGGTGGGATGAGCCCGAAATCTGTTCAACAGATTGGGTTATTGTTGCAGAGCAGCTAGACGGAAGCCCTTATTAAGACCTGCCAACATAGTCAGACAAAAGAATTGGGCAAGTGATATGATGACCAAGCCTCTGGACTTTTGGAAGACCGTATTGTTCTCAGATGAATCAAGATTCGCTCAATTTTCGGACAGTGGAAGGATGTGGGTCTGGATAATGCCTCACCAAGAGTTTTGGCTCAACAGATTGCAGCGAACTGTGAAGCATGGTGGTTTCAGCGTGGTGGTTTGGAGGGCTGTTTGGGTTGGTGGGAGATCGAGCTTAGTGGAGTGCGTTGGCAACATAAATTTTGCGAAATACGTCGAAATATTGGAGGAAGGAGTCTTGCCACTTTATTCCTCGGGTTTCGTGGACAAGAACACAACGTTGTTCCAGGAAGATGAAGCACCGTGTCTCACTGCTAGAAACACCCAAAAGTGGCAGGAAGAAAATGGTATCCAGAAGTTGCCCTGGTCGAGCCAATCTCCTGACATGAACCCCATCGAAACCTCTGGGCCATACTCGACCGGCAAGTCAAG